AGGTGGGCGCGGTGTAACGGTTTGTCAGGAGGTTTAAAACCCGCCTCAGCTCCAGCTCTCAGCCTGTCGTTAGGTTGACTGAAAGTTAGACTGAGACAGCATTTCCAGCATGGAGACCGCCATCGATGGGACTCCAGCGCCCCCTGCAGGGACAGACGGGGGACGTCACTCAGGCTTTGTCCAGTAATCCTTATAGTCTGTGGTTCTGCCACATCATTTGCTGATAGGCAGATGTTTGTCGACAGCTCCTTTATCAGCTGATTGTGATGTTAAAGAGTCGGTGCATCCCTGATTTTATTAATGAGAAGATAAACGTTCAGTATGACATCATCACTCGTCTGTGACAGTTTGTTTGAGGGCTGTCAGCTCTCTCCTGCCCTTAAAGATAAATCTGATTTTGATTAAGACTTTAGTGCAGTGCTGCATTCAGGTCCTCGGATGGGCCCAGTTTCTTCTGACTTCAGTGTGTTCTCAGTGAGGAAGGTGAGGAGGTTTGAATCCCCGTCCTTCAGGAGTCTCTCTGTGAGGAGGTTCCTGGTTTGAATCCCCGTCCTTCAGGAGTCTCTCTGTGAGGAGGTTCCTGGTTTGAATCCTCGTCCTTCAGGAGTCTCTCTGTGAGGAGGTTCCTGGTTTGAATCCTCGTCCTTCAGGAGTCTCTCTGTGAGGAGGTTCCTGGTTTGAATCCTCGTCCTTCAGGAGTCTCTCTGTGAGGAGGTTCCTGGTTTGAATCCCCGTCCTTCAGGAGTCTCTCTGTGAGGAGGTTCCTGGTTTGAATCCCGTCCTTCAGGAGTCTCTCTGTGAGGAGGTTCCTGGTTTGAATCCTCGTCCTTCAGGAGTCTCTCTGTGAGGAGGTTCTGGTTTGAATCCCATCCTTCAGGAGTCTCTCTGTGAGGAGGTTCCTGGTTTGAATCCCTGTCCTTCAGGAGTCTCTCTGTGTGGAGTCTGCATGTTCTCCATGTGTGGGTTCTCTCCTGGTTCTCCGTCTTCCTCCCACAGTCCAAAGACATGCTCGTTAGGTTAACTGCTGACTCTAAATTGTCTGTAGGTGTGAATGTGAGTGTGTCTGGTTATCTGTCTCTATATGTCAGCCCTGTGATTGGCTGGTGATCAGTCCAGGGTTTAACCCTGCCCCTCGCCCAATGACAGCTGGGATTGGCTCTGGCGCCCCGCGACCCCAAACAGGAAAGCGGTATAGATAATGGATGGATGTAAATCACTCTTTTGATTGGGTTGTTTAAAGGTCAACCAGATCAGACTTCCTTAAAATGCTTAATACCATTTACAAAGAGGCCTCTGGGAGTTCCACTTCCTCAGGATCAAATAAATAATATATAAGTATAAATATGTATCTCCATTACTCTGGGACTGCAGGGAAATGTAGTCCCTTAACATAAAAAGAAGGGAGTTCTCATGTGATCTTGTAGTTCTCCTGTGATCTTGTTGTTCTCCTGTGATCTTGTAGTTCTCCTGTGATCTTGTTGTTCTCCTGTGATCTTGTAGTTCTCATGTGATCTTGTAGTTCTCCTGTGATCTTGTAGTTCTCATGTGATCTTGTAGTTCTCTCTGTGATCTTGTTGTTCTCCTGTGATCTTGTAGTTCTCATGTGATCTTGTAGTTTCCTGATCTTGTAGTTCTCCTGAGAACTTGTAGTTCTCCTGATCTTGTAGTTCTTCTGTGATCTTGTAGTTCTGCTGTGAACATCATTTGTAGTTCCTTGCTGAAGGTTTGAATGTGTTAGTCATGTTTTGCAGCTTGAGAAACGTGTCCATCAGAGGAAGATAAAGTGTTCTCACAGAGCTCAGCTGGGCTCTGATAAAAGCTGCCCGTTGTCTCTCTCTGTGCTGGATGTCGATAAAAGACGTGGCAGGCGACATGGACACATTACAAATGATCCTTTCAGTCATGAAGACGAGGGAATAAAGGAGTCTTTGGCTTGGCTGATTAACATCACTCTGATAAATATGAGGTCACGTTGGCGGCTCCGCCTACAGTCAGACAGGAAGCTCATGAACCAAAACACCCAGAACATGCAGAATATTTGTATAATGAGCATGATCCATTAATCACCACATTCAGAGCACAGTTCTTATCCCTGTTCATGTCTCTCTTTATTCCCTCACATAGACTTGTTATTCTGGTGTGTCCCTTCAGAATAAAAGCTTCTCTGTCACTTAGTGAGGAGAAGAGGAAATTACTCGAAATGACAGACAAGAATGATATGAAAGGCCAAATATCCAACGCTTTATAAATTCTTATTGAGCCTCTCGTGGTGTTCTGGGCAGGGCAGATTCTAGAGTCTGTTGGGGCCCTAGGCAAAACCTCACAAGGGCCCCCTCCAGCCAGAGTTCATCACCATTAAGTGATAAATATTCTAAAAACATCACTATTTAAATCACTCCTCACATTAATAGAATATAATTTATAACCATTATTTTTTATTAACAGCTTCAAATAAAATAACAATAATCAACTTTTACGCCATTACCTGCATCTCATACTTCTGTCTTGCTGTCTTTTTTCCCTAGCAGACCGATAACTCGTAATTTTCCTTTGATGACTTTTATCGTCATTGCAAACTTTGTGCATTTCATGCCACTGTTGTATTCAATCTTTGAAAGCCCTGCGGGGCCCATTACCTGCCTTTACCTGTTGACAAGCAGCGCCTCTGGTTCTCTGTATTTTTCTGTATTTTTTACATTTCGAACAGTATTGCTGTGAAAGTGATAAGCACTAAAACATTTCCCTCAGATACAGCAGGCAGAACGCGGAGCTGCTCGTTACAGTTAGTTTTAATTTTGCAGTGCACTTGTTAATAACGGTGTCCCACATGGATCAATATTCAGCCTTCTGATATTTATTTTACTCATTAATATTATTTATGTGCCTACTGAACCTGCTGATGTCCATTTATATTCTGATGAAACATCCCACAGTCTGGCTTTATGACAGGATGCTTGTGTGGTCCAAAGCCTTCGTCATGTCTTCAATGTTAAACTATATTTATACTTTAAAACTCCTGCGTGGAGTTTTTAGCTGGTTATGAAAAAGACATATATTAATTGTGATGCCTCGTTATAACCTTTAAAAGACAACAAGATCACCATTGGAAAAGTTGACCATCTTTCACTTTTTATTAAAAGTCAAACAGGTGTTAGTGAGCCAATCTGACACCCCCTCAGAGCAGCTGCCAGTTTGGCTGCAGCTAGTTCTTCACAGTGTCATCAGCATACTTTTGCATATTAACATCCTGGCAAACTTGAAGGAGATCATTATTATATATATGCTAAATAAAAATGGTCCAAAGATGGATCCTTGAGGGACTCCAACAGTACAGCTGGTTAATGAGGAGCACTTATTCCCCTCTCGGTGTCCTCTCCTTTAAGAAGGATTGCATCCACTTTCACATAGTTTTGAAAGTAAAATGTTGGAGTTAGCTGCGTCAAATGCCTTCTTAAAATCTAACAACACATCACTGACAGAAACACCTTTGTCGAGATAACTTTTGTCTTGTTCAACAAAAATACACTTTTTTACCCCATTGGGAAGCTAGGACTATTATGTCTATAATTTGAAGGAGTAGTTCTTCCCCTGATTTAAAACAGGAGTCACCATTGGCCTGAATGTCTCAGACTCGAGGCACAGGTATATTCAGAGCAGGTGAGCATACAGTTACATGAACAACCTCTTAACAATCCTCCTGGGTGATCTGAGAATAGCTTATAGTGCCCCATGTGTCCCGAGGACGGACTGAGATCTGAACCAGGTTCTGCGCTGGGTCCCAAGAGACCGACAGAAGAGGTTGGCTTCAGAGGAGTGTGGGGGGGGAGGTCAGTGAGGTAGGAGGCGGCCTGGTTGTTTAAGGACTTTGAAGGTAAGGAGTAGGACTTTGAACTGGATTTGTTGGGGAGCCAGTGGAGGTTCTGGAGGACAGTTCAAATGTTCAGGTTCATCAGATGTCAGACTTTTAGTGCACAAGCATTTGTTTTCATCTCAGAGTGGAAATGAAAGAAGGAAGAATGAAAGACTCCAGAAGAAAGATTTCAAGCTGAGTAAAATCAGATAAATGAATCAGTAAAGAGTTATCACACTGATGCTGCGGCAGCGAGTCCACAGATGATAAATCTTCTCCTGCTGTAACTGTGATCAGGACGGCATCACACACACACACACACACACACACACACACACACACACACACCCACAGTCAGAGGGCGAGAGCGCCACGCTGCTCACAACTCATCAGAGCTTTGTTTGTTCACAAATTCAAATCAGCTGTTTCTGCACAATATGAGCATTTGTGTGTGTGTGTGTGTGTGTGTGTGTGTGTGTGTGTGTGTGTGTGTGTGTGTGTGTGTGTGTGTGTGTGTGTGTGTGTGTGTGTGTGTGTGTGTGTGTGTCAGAGATTCCCTCCTACGTCTCTTTGACTTCACACTGGACTTTGTGTGGTCGCAGTGCGGAACAATCATCTGCCTGTGTGTGTGTGTGTGTGTGTGTGTGTGTGTGTGTGTGTGTGTGTGTGTGTTGTTACATGAAGGCTTGTTGAAATGTTTGATACTTTTTGATTGCTGGAGTTTTAAAACTTGACGTTTCTGTTATTTTAATGATCAAGAATCAAAAGTTAAAAACCTGTGTGGTCAGACAGGTGTGTAGGAGAGAGAGGGCTGAATCAAACAAACATGGTCGACAAACTCCTCCGGTCTGAATCGCACAAAAACAAACGCTGCCAATGATGTGCGATTTGTACGGAAGCCCGAAAGTTCACCTGCAGAAACACATTTGTGAAATATATTTCAGTTTATTTGATTTTGTCTTTCATGAAATGTTTCTGTGGTTGACCTTGAGGACCTGAAACTTTCTCAAATTCAAAACCTTGAATTACACACTTCGGGATGTTGTATCCAACACGTATCCAAATGGTTTGAAATCTTATCATAAACACAAGTTTAAAACTGGTGTCATCATGACGACCCCTTCAGGTCAAAGGTCATATCTGAATGTCCTCTCTGTCTTCTCCGTCTGTGTTTCAGATCCAGAGGGACAGAGACGTCTTCTCACCTGCTCAGCCCTGCCCTGAACCCAGCTCGCCCACATGTACAGGTAAGACTGACACACACACACACACACACACACACACACACACACACACACACACACACACACACACACACACACACACACACACACACACACGAACACTCACCTTCATCCCTGACCAGGTAACGTCTCTCTCTCTCTCTAACAGACGTCCTCCCAGAGACAGACGAGTGTGTGTCGCTCTGTTTGACACACCAAGACAGTCTGAAGGTCCATCCTGAGCCGGGTGACTGTGTCTTTAAAAAGGTTTGAAACCACCTGAAACACACACACACACACACACACACTCTCTCTGTCTCTCCCTCTCTCTCTCTCTCTCTCTCTAAATACTTATTTCAGGGGCGTGTCCAGCCGGGTGGCAGGGTGAGTACCTGCGTGCGTGGCGTGCGTGGCGTGCGTGGCGTGCGTGGCGTGCGTGCGTGCGTGGCGTGCGTGGCGTGCGTGGCGTGCGTGGCTGTGAGGTTTATGAACAGCAGTGAGCTGCTGGTAGTTCAGAGCATCAGGGCTGTGACTCATTATTTCTGGAAGAGTCTTTTCCATTCTGCTCTCTCAGAACGCTGACATGTGAACTCTGTCTGACTGGAGCCTTTCAAAATAAAAGCTTAATATGACCTGGAGCCTTTCAAAATAAAAGTTTAATATGACTCCAATACTGTGAAAAAGAGAGACAACAGGAAGGAAACACTTTCAAAATAGGTGGAGAAAAACTTGAGCCAAAAGACATCAGTATAAATGATCCAGGTCCAGGTCCAGGTCCAGGTCCAGGTCCAGGTCCGGGACCTCAGGATGGTTTGAAAAGTAGAAGGATTTTGATGATAAAAGCATGAAACTTGGCACACTGTTAGAGCATGCCCTAAGGAAGATTTTTGGCTACAGGGCCATCCCATATTTGCGATACATTTTCAAAACGGCCGCCACAGGGTATTAATTTAGAAGTATCTTGGGATCTAGACCACCTAGGATCGTGATTTCAGTGACCTACATTTTCATGGATAAGGCATGAAGTGATACTGTTAAAAACATGCTTGCAACTACCTAACTACGTACTTCTGTGGTGGACTCTGCTCTCAGAATGAACACAGCATGTCATTGAAAACCTGTAATAAATATATATACATGATAACATGTATAACTTCCCTCATAATAAATATGTTGATGGTTTAACTGCTATTTAGTTCCCTGAATGCCTGAATAGGGCATGTTTCAGGCTTTTATCATCAACAGCACAATTCTTTCACATATCTGCTGGACTATTTAATTCATCGGGCTCCATGTAGTCCTCATTACACATTTGAAATGTTTCCTGCTGTCTCTCGCTCCCCTCCAGCCTGCAGACCCTCCCCCCGTGGAGGGGTGTGTGTCTCCTGGTCCTCCACAGATGAAGCCTATCCTGGTGAGGACCCTCTGGACCCAGCGGCCCCTCGGACCTCCAGGCTGTCCTGGAAGTCTGAAACAGAGGACCGAGGTAAACCAGACTAATGAGATCTCATTCAACACAACCTGTCTGTAGATTGAAGGGGCGGAGCCTGTCATCTCTCCTGTGACTGTCACAGAACTAAAAACATTTGTTTGTAATGTCAGGACGAGGAGAAGAAGAGGACCAGCTTACAGAGAATCCCGTCTCCTCAACCGTCATGCGAGCGTCCGTCCGCTCTCTCTCTCCACTCCGACGTCACAGCTGGGAGCCGGCCGCCGCGGAGAGTGACATCACAGCCAGCAGGTAGAAGATGAGACGATGGATCTGAGTTTGAGAGAGTAAAGGAGCAGCTCCTCTCACTGTCTCTTTGTCTGCTTTCAGCCTTCTGAAGAGCCAATCAGGAGAGAGCAAGAGAGCCAAGAACCCCCTGCACAGGAGAAGGTACACCTGTCAATCAACACTGAAGAGGGGCGGCGCCTCTGCAAGAAACACGTGCGTGCGTGCGTGCGTGCGTGCGTGCGTGCGTGCGTGCGTGCGTGCGTGCGTGCGTGCGTGCGTGCGTGCGTGCGTGCGTGCGTGCGTGCGTGCGTGCGTGCGTGCGTGCGTGCGTGCGTGCGTGTGCCTATGTGGTATAGACTGCCTTTACACCAGGTTACCCACCAGCATTCCCGGACCTCAGGGAATTAGCTGGACTATAATTCAGAAAGTGTATCTACATTATTTAGTGTCTAACTAACATAAATTCAAATTTTCTTTGATAGTCCATCTATACCACTTGACCTGACAATTTGTGTATCCCAGTGTATGGAACAGCGCACCCTAGAGCTTGGGATGGATTTGCACTTTCTCACATATTTTCGATACACACGGTGCAAATTAGGCGGGCTGTCCTGTGATTGGCTGGTTAAGTTATGTGGGCGGGGCCTACCAAATGTGTGTGTGTGTCAACAGCAGTTTGTGTGTTTGATATCATTAATGCTCCTCCTCTCCTCTCCTCTCCTCTCCTCTCCTCTCCTCTCCTCTCCTCCTCTCCTCCCTCCTCCTCTCCTCCTCCTCTCCTCCTCCTCTCCTCTCCTCTCCTCCTCCTCTCCTCCTCTTCTTCCTCTCCTCTCCTCTCTCCTCCTCTCCTCCTCTCCCTCCTCCCCTCTCCTCTTCCCTCCTCCTCTCCTCTTCTCCATCATCCACTCATCTCTCTGCAGCATGAGCTGGTGTCCATCCAACCTGCATCTCCCTGATCCTCTGCAGCAGCACATAGACAACAGGAGGTAAAAACACACAGCAGGAGGTAAAAATACACACAACAGGAGGTAAAAATACACACAGCAGGAGGTAAAAATATACACAGCAGGAGGTAAAAATACACACAGCAGGAGGTAAAAACACACACAGCAGGAGCCAAAGAAATACACAAAGCAGGAGATAAAAACACACAGCAGGAGGTAGAAACACACAGCAGGAGCTATAAATACACACAGCAGGAAGTAAAAACACACACAGCAGGAGGTAAAAATACACACACCAGGAGGTAAAACACACACAGCAGGAGGTAGAAACACACAGCAGGAGCTATAAATACACACAGCAGGAGGTAAAAAAAAACACAGCAGGAGGTAAAAACACAAACAATGGGAGGTAAAAATACACACACCAGGAGGTAAAAACACACTCAGCAGGAGGTAAAAACACACACAGCAGGAGGTAAAAACACAAACAGCGGGAGGCAAAAATACACACACCAGGAGGTAAAAACACACACAGCAGGAGGTAAAAACACAAACAGCGGGAGGTAAAAACACACACAGCAGGAGGTAAAAACAAACACAGGTACTCACACAGGTGATACACACACACACACACACACACACACAGCAGGAGGTAAAAACACAAACAGCGGGAGGTAAAAATACACACAGCAGGAGGTAAAACAACACACAGCAGGAGGTAAAAACACACACAGCAGGAGGTAAAAATACACACATCAGGAGGTAAAAATACACACGCAGGAGGTGATACACACACACAGCAGGAGGTAAAAATACACACAGCAGGAGGTGATACACACACACAGCAGGAGGTAAAATACACACAGCAGGAGGTAAGAACACACACAGCAGGAGGTAAAAACACACACAGCAGGAAGTAAACACACACACAGCAGGAGGTAAAAATACACACACCAGGAGGTAAAACACACACAGCAGGAGGTAAAAACACACACAGCAGGAGGTGATATACACACAGCAGGAGGTAAAAATACACACACCAGGAGGTAAAACACACACAGCAGGAGGTAAAAACACACACACAGCAGGAGGTGATAAACACACACAGCAGCAGGTAAAAACACACACATCAGGAGGTAAAAACACACAACAGGAGGTAAAAACACACACAGCAGTAGGTGATACAGACACAGCAGGAGGTGATACACACACACACACAGCAGGAGGTAAAAACACACTCAACAGGAGGTGATAAACACACACAGCAGCAGGTAAAAACACACAGCAGGAGGTGATATACACACACAGCAGGAGGTAAAAACACACACAGCTGGAGGTAAAAATACACACAGCAGGAGGTAAAAATACACTCAACAGGAGGGGAAAAACACACACAGCAGGAGGTAAAAACACACTCAACAGGAGGTAAAACACACACAGCAGGAGGTAAAAACACACACAGCAGGAGGTGATATACACACACAGCAGGAGGTAAAAACACACACAGCTGGAGGTAAAAATACACACAGCAGGAGGTAAAAATACACTCAACAGGAGGTGATAAACACACACAGCAGCAGGTAAAAACACACACAGCAGGAGGTAAAAAGCACACTCAGCAGGAGGTAAAAATACACAGACATGTTTATAAAGTTTTGTGTGTTTGTGTTGTGATTTGAACAGCTACAGTCTGGAGGGTCTGGAGGAGAGGGGGATGCTGCAGACTCAATTTCCCAGCATCCTCTCTGATCAGCAGGAGAGAGAGTTCAGGAGGAGAGAAGAGAGAGGTTCGCTGCTGTCCCTCACTGAGGAGGAGCAGGAAGGAGACGCCTGCAGCCTCCACAGCCAGGTGTGTGTGTTGTGTGTGTGTGGTGGTACAATAATGCTCATCTGTCCATGCGGCGCTCTCCGGAGCTGATGGCGCCCTCTTTAATCAATAAACTTTATCTATGAAGAACTTTAAACATAGTTGATCCAAAGTTCTGATCCCCGTTTCACCTGGTCCTGGATCGAGTTACTGACCTAGATCTCTCACCGGCTGATATGGGGACAGGAGGTCTGAGAGCTGGGCGGGGCCTTAAACACAGTCAGCAGTATGGCAGCCAGTGTAAGGAGGCAGGAACGTCACGCTCTGCACTCGTTTCGGTGTGTGTATCCGCGGTGGCTTTTCTACGGTAACCCTGTGAGCTGCGATTCACCTCTGTGGTGGTTTTGCTCAGTTTTGATGGCGTGCAATTCCAGTTTTTTGAAGTGCGAGTGCAGCCATAAACTGACCTACACGTTACATCGACAGAGCGCCCACTTTTCATGACAGGCGGTTTCTCCCGACGTTTGGGGCTCTCCGCTCAGCTGTTGATGTGTTTGTTTGTTTGTTTGTGTTTAGTCGTCACATCAGGTGCTGTCAGTGACCAACAGCTGTCCTGCCATGTTTCACCACCAAACCCTCACCAAATCCATCTCCATGGTAACCATCAGAGACATAGGTGGTGAGTTTCTGTTTCCTCCATTGTTTCCTTCCCTCTTTCTTTGTCCTTGTTTCCTCCCCTCACTCCGTCACATTTTTCTCTTCTGGTTCATCGTCCCGCCCACGCCCTGCAGCGATTGGATGTTCTCCATCAAAGCGACGAATCAGCTTCTCCCTCAGTATCCCCTCTCTCCTCCCTAAAAATAGACGCTTCTTTTCTATTGGCTGCTCCTCCAGTGATGATGAGGAGGAGGGAGGGAGTAAGTATAATGCAGGTAGCTGTGTGTCAGTGTGGAGCCCCCCCCCCC